ACACACACACACACACACACACACACACACACACACACACACACACACACACACACACACACACACACAGACTCCCGTCCATGCACTACGCAGTGACTGTAAGTCCATTTCCACGCATCCCTTGCAACAATTCGAACATAGAAGCTGAACCCCCGAGGCAAAACCTTGTAAACAGTCCCTGGCATGAGCAAGACACTGCAGCTGAGGATGTCACTACAGACAATGACTCTGTCCGCATTGTCTGCATTGGGATATGGACGTACACTGGCTGGAGCTCATGCCGCTCTCTCGTTAGGCAGATAGGGGTGTCTGTCGGAATAGCGGCTGGCTGCAGCATCACATGACAGTCGAGATCCTCTAGCGTGAGCTCCTCTTCATCCATCCATGGAGTGTAGTTCGCTGAGACACACAACGCCGCACTGCCCGTTGACAGCCATTCTGGAGACCAAGGCGGTCACAGGCCTTTCTAAACCCACACTGATGTCGCAGGGAAAATCGAGGAGAGGAGCACAGAGGCAGCGACGAGGAGCTCAGAACCGAAACAAGGGATCATGCGATGCTTACGCTGCAGCCACGGGCGCCACTTTGATTGAGCCACTGCTGCACCTTGATCTGCGGTCCCCTGTTTGGTCTCCTGTCTATCTGCTTTCCCCTCTGTCGTCCCGCCGTGCTCGTTCTGCAGCGGACACACAAAGAGCCAGCAAGGAGTCCACTAGAACAGTAAAATACGCCTAAATCCCGTTAAAAGGAACTGATTGGTAGGTAGTAGGAATGAGCAAGTCTGCTGATTTGTTGCCTTTCTGTGGACGATCTGCCGCTTACAGAAGAAGAGCGTGCGTGTTCTTCGTGCTGTCCCTCGACTTGGGCATGGAGGATGACGGAGACAACGCCGACTATCGTGGAAGTTTTGCCAGTTCCGGGGGGGCCTTGAATGAGAGTGACGCCCTCCACCTTCAGCGAATCCTCCAGGGCGGAGAGCTGGCTGGCGTTATACAGACTCTCTAAACGGGCCTTCAGGGCCTCCGGGATGACAAGGCGTCGCTCTGCCTGCTGCGTCTTTTCCTGAGTCTTCCTCTCAGAGGCCTTTTCTGAGGCCTCGTCTGATGTGGAGGCCAGTGATGTCTGTGTCTGAGCGCGAGGCCCGTCAGATGGTGAGGGGCCTTCACCACTCGCTGTGTTACCCGCGGGAGGAGACACGGTGGCCCCCCCGCTTTCAGTCGCTGACTGGCTAACCTCCTGCCCTTCCAACAAGGGGTTGTTCAGAGGGCTCGACGGTTTGTCTTTGCTCAACGGTTGTCGTGGAGACGACCCCTCAGTTGGCACGCGAAAGAGACTGTCCTTCAGCAGCAAATCAGGCAGAGACATCAAACCCTGAAGGCACCGGAAGCCCGAACCGGAGACACACAAGAAACTGCCGGCTGCTGTCCAGGCAGGAAAAATAACGTGGAGACGGCAAGGGAGACAAAAGGAGGCAACACCACAGACAAAACGAAGGGAGATCTCGTATACATGCACAGACGTACATGCACGCCCACATGCAAGCCCCAAAACAGAAATATACATAAGGAAAACAGTACAGATTCGCGCCCAGATAAATAGTGAATACACAGCAACATGGGAAAATGTTGGTGTAGGAGCAGACATAAAGGCTCACCCAGTTAGGGAAAGATAGGAACACGAACAAGAATACTTAAACATGCATACACAAACAAACATATACAACCTGGAAAAAGGGAAATAGAGNAGAGGTCAAAGCAACAGAGGAGCAAAGAGGCAGTCTCCACTGCAACATGACGGGAGTCACCTGGAATTCTCTGTGTATGGTGGTGAGGGACATGATTCGCTGCACCGTCCACTTGGTGAACTGACCATTGAGCGCCTTCACGAGCTTCAGCAGGCGGCGTCGGTCCCTGGGCAAGAGGAAGCCGTACGGTCGGCCTGTGGCCGGATTATACACACCGGAGGCGTTCTGCCCCTCTTCCACTCCATGGATGTCTTTGCCGTTGTACGCGGGGCCTAGAGGGGTCAGGACCTTAACACTGATGGCCTCGTGCTGTCCCTGAGACACAACTGCGAGCACGTGGCAGTCGGTGTCATGCGGCCTCAACACTCGGGTTGCAGGTCGCACCTCCGCCTCCTCATCTGGCTGCCCGCCGGAAGCCTCCTTGGAGTTCGTTTCCTTCTCTCCAGATTTCTCCCCCTGGGCCTCCCTTTCGCCCCCTTTGTCCGTCGTTTTGTGCCTCTTGGCCTCGTCAGCAGCCCGGTCCCTTGGGATGTACATCAGCACCAAGTCGCCGTGACAGTACCGACAAGCAGACGCAGAAACTGCAGTCACCCCTCCAGACCGACTCAGCAGCAGAGAGAGAAAGGAGCCCCGAGGCTCACCACTTTGCTGCGGCATGACAACCAGAAGTGGAGAATGACAAGTTCCCTCTTGTAGCCGTCGTCTGCCCTTTAGGCATTGAATTCTCGAGACACAAAGTGAAACCGTTTTTCAGTGCCTGTTTGCATCAAGATGATAAGGGGAAGGGACATGCTTCTGGAGCAACAGCTAAACTGACTAGCCAGGGAGAGATGCATCTGCATTGGCAGTTCGACTGACCTGCAGGAACTGCTCGGGCGGCCCGAGGTCAAGCTTGATGGCTCTTGCTAGGGCCTGTTTCGCCTCTTGGAGGAACAAAGGAAGGAAAAAGCCGATGTACACATTTTCGTTGGGTATCACTGTGGGTATGGGCCGTAGATATTCCCGTTGTTGGCTCAGCTGTGCCTGTCCTATCAGGACGTCTTGCGAAGTCTCCTTGGCCTCCCCATGTTCCTCGTCTGCCTCGCAGTTATCTTCATTGTCACGCGCCTCCCCTTCCTCCCTGGGGTCATCAGGAGCGAGAGAGTCAGCAAGGGCGGGATCTTCTGCAGATGTATCTCCCGGGAGAGGGCGGAGGACGCCTTCTTCGCGGAGGTCGGCGAAGAAGTCGAGGCCGAGTAGCAACTCGTTCAAAGGATCCACAGAAGGCAGAAGGCTCGAGCCTTCGATGTAGCGGTAACGCTGCAGCCAAGCAGAGCCAAGGCGTTCCGCCCTCCGCAACTCTGCCTCTGTACATACCTCCCGGGCATGGGGCGAAGCCCGAGTAGGCGTGGAGGTCCCCGCAAGGCCACCCTCTTCAGTGGACAGGCAAACCATCTGAGCTGCCGCCGCACAAGCCCACTGGGATCTCGCCTCTGCCGTTCTTCTGTGGGGCCCCTGCCCTCCGGGCCCCTCCGGTGGACCAGTTCGGCCGTGACAAGGTGGTTGGCGGGAGTTTTGCCCCCCTGTGTTGTCCTATACAGCCAATATAAACATGGTGCCCTCCTTATTCAACCCTGTAATGCACCCTCCTGACTAGCGTTAGACCTGCCAAGGCGCGTCGTCGGAGCAGGGACATCGGGGATCTCCTTCCCGCTTCGGGCTTATGCCTGTTATATTTAATTATCTAAAACTAAAGGCCACTGAAACATCATTGAAGAGCAAACATGGCTCATACTTCTCAGAAGATGTCGCGAAGTTTAGCTTCTTTTTTCCGTATGCGGCGAGCCCGGCACCGGGTACTGGGGAGCAGATCGAGATGATTCGCATGCAGTACAAATCACAGGAGTCAACTGCGCGGTACACTTCCTATCTGTTTCCCTTAAATTCTATTTTTGAACGTAGGGGAGCACAAAAACAGTTCAAAGCAACGGTCGCAACTTCCTTGCCTTAACATCGGGCCCCCCCCCCGGCCTTCCCTTCTCCCGGAGGTCGAGGTGAAGGACCTGGAGGGAGAATATCAAACAGCGCCATATAGCTCATGACGGGTCAACGGGCCCTTGACCCACCTGCTGCTGCGGCTGCAGCGGCTCGTCGCCTCAGCAGCAGTCGGCCACTGTTTGCTGTTTCCCTAAGCACTGCGGTGTCTCAGCTGCTGCAGCTGACTGCAATTCCTGAGTCTGTGTCCCTCGGGTCGCCCTCTCAATTTCCCTCCTCTTTTAGTTCATCACAGGTCGAGGATGATGCCCTCGGCTCAGATAACTTGACGGCAGAAGACGGGCCCTCGGGGCACGCGGCGGAGAATCAACAGCCACACCCAGTAGCTCGTGCAGCTACAGATCAGGAGGTCACTGAAACCTTTCAGACGCAGTGGCTGACAGCGCGATTCATTGCACAAGTCCGAGCCCACTTTGAGACCACGCTTGCTGCATCGTCTGAGGAAGATGGAGAGGTGGCTGAAAATGGAGGAGAGGAGACGCAGGCAAGCGAAGAAGAGGAGGCGGTTAGGTACCAAAGAGCCGTTTGTACTGGAGCGCTTCGATGGGGACTCCTCCTGCTACTTTCCGCCGAGCCGGCTCTGCTAAACCAGCAAGCACCTCGTTTAGCTTCACCGACAACACCGAGAGAGTCCCCTGAGCAACAAAGCGATAGTTATTTCTCTTCAGAGATGAGGCGACCTCAGGCAGAGGCCCTTAGCGGCAACCGGCATGATAATGCGGAGTCTGCAGATGCCGTATTAAGGGGTAAGATATGAGACAGCCTATAAACGACTCAGTTAGCCGCGCTTCTTTATCCTCTAACAAAGGCGCAGAACCCTTGATACACCGCGTTTATTGCATGCGGTGTCTGAACATCTTTGCTTTTGTTTTTTTGCTGCAGAGGCTCTCTTTGCATTTGAGATAATCGTTCGTGTCTCCCCGTCGATGGCCACCCGAATTCTTCCCAAGGTTTTGGAATGGCTTGACTGGGGCCTCTCAGGCACAGGGGGACACCACCCGCTGCTCTCGGAAGGGACGGAGGCGAGCAACAAGCAGATTCATATCTTGGATGCGCATCTGCAACATATGGAGGCAGTTAGTGGTGAATGCCCATTGGAACGGCGAGTGCAGCAGATTAGAAAAGGCTCTCTTTCCGCACTCTTTACCTGTCCCCTCCCCAACTATGTCGCTTCAGGGTGCATTAGCAGTACTTCCGAGCATCTCAATCGGGTACGTCTGCTAGCGCTTCTCCTGCGGGGCCCCACGGTACTCCTTGGCTGTTCTAGGGTTCTCGCCGCCTGTGTATTGCCGCCCAAATCAGCGAAGGGGGTCTGTGGTGGCGAGGGCAGCGGCAGCATGCGAGGGACGGCGCCAGAGAATAAAATAGAAGGAGAGAATGCCAAGGCTGCGGCTGAGGCGGAGGCTTCTGTCCAGCGCCGGCTTTGTGCGGCAACCGTCAGCCAGCTGCTTTGTGCTATTAAGGATTTCAGAACCGTCCTCNACTTTCGGGGACACTTCTGCTGAACTGCGGGAGTCTTGAGGGCCTAAGTGATGTCGAGAAAATGATTCTCGCAGCTTGTTTGCCGCCTGTGCTTCGTTGGGTGGCGGCTCCATCACAGCACAATACGGCAGGAGGCCAGACAGGGGGCGGCTCGGCGTCTTCAGCGAGCATATATCCGGAGCACAACTTCTCTTGGGCTTTTGTCGGGACCCATTGCGTAGCGGCTGAGAGCGCCCCGCGAAAGGCAGCGCTTTACATCCTTGCTACCATTCAGGTAAGTGACGACGAGGGCACCAGGAGCAATTGTGGGCCGGGGAAGCAGCGACGCAGTAGCCACAGTCTTGATTTCACTTGCAGCCAGTCTGGTGTTTACGTTGTAGATCAGTCAGTTCGCCTACAATCGCCTGCGCTCGTCTGCCTGCAGGGCGTACTTCTGTCGTTTGCGCTGAATGTCCAAGGGTCGTCAAAATGCCTAGACACATTTGGGGTTGCTGCCGCTGCCACTGACAAGTCGGTAGTTCGACAAGCGCAAGGTCAGGAACCGCATACTGATGATGTCTCCTGTAGTGCAGCGCAGCAATCGAAAGTCATCCGATCACTTTTGAAATGTTTCTTCACTACTTCTGTTCGCATGCTCCACTGCAGTGTATTTTGCGTTCCCCTGTGTGACGCTGCGCAGCCCTTCTGAAAGAGGTCGGTGAATTTTTTAGTTTCCGGCCAAATACGTCTGTGGGGCCACATTTCCAAGAACTGCCACCGCCCGCATTCATACATGCTGTGACGGGCCTGTGCTCTCGTGCACTTACAGCCAAAGAACTCCCAAAGGCTTTTCAGGCCAATGCGAACCGCGCCGACTCCCGCATATTACTAACAGCTACAACAGCAGCCTCAGTTGTTGAAGTGCAGATTGCTGAACGAGGTGGAGGAGGAGACCCTCGCTGCCCACTGACGGGTGAGGATTTCTGCAGGATCGCACCCAAGCCTTGCTCAAGTATAACCTAGTAAAGACACGCATACGCTTCGCCCATATCCCTGTTAATTTCGTGCCGCAGGGCGATTGCAGCTACCATATGGGCTTCCTGACGAGCAGCTCACTGAACTTTTCCCTGGACAGATGGCATCCGGGCATTCAGCAATGCATGGAGGCGGTGAACGAGTTCTTCTCTCATATCTTAGTGATGAAGGCGCATCTCTAATGGCTATACATGTTTCCCGCGTCCTGATAGCACTCGTCAAGTCCGTATCTGTAAGCTGAAATTGTTCACAGCCCCAGCTGCCTTCGCCTAGGCGAAGGATGCAGGTAGTGAGGTATGCTTGTTGTGTTATTGTTTTTCACGCAGCTAGGAGACGAAGAACGCAGTCTAGGCTTTATTATTCCTCCGCTCCTCCGTGTTTTAGACGTTCCCCAAGGTACGACCACACTGCATCTCCCGCCAGCATCGTGCATTTAACGATAATATTGGTTGTTTCGACAATATATATCTGGAACGATGACCTCTTAGTGATGCGAAAGGGCCGCCTCTGTAGCGGAGTGGCTGATACTCGGCATTGTTGCTGTGTGCGCTCGCCGTCGGTTTGGGTAATTCAGCTGAAGTTCGCTTCTTGGGTTGGAAGTGCCTCAATGAGGTTGTCGTCAAGTGCCCCATCGGTGGTGAGCAGCAGCATATATCTCCCAGTAATTCATGCAGCAACATAGTTGGATGCAGCGTTATCCTTTGCGTGGGGGTTCTTGGATCGCCGTTTCCCCTCTCCGATGTCTCCGTCTGTGTTTCGCCATTCAGGACTGAACAACTACCGGACTCCTATCATGCAAGTACGCAGCACTAATACTCTCGTACACCCTGAGCAAGGCATTTGACAAAATTAGGACCACTTTTATAATGTTGGAGCTCTTATGGAAACTCCCTACGTGACGTGTGATGGTCCCAGTGTGGTCTGTCCCGTTTTTTTCAGGCCCTGATGGGCGGTTTTCCAATATACACGGAAGTGGAAGTTTGCTTCGATGCATATCTTGAGGCGTTTACGACATTCATCTGTCGCACGTTCGTGGACGAATATGATCAGTCGTTCTTCGATTGGTACGCAGAATGCATGTAATCTTGCACTGTTAGTTTTCTTGATATTTGCCGGCGGATGCATGTACAGGGAAACTCGGAGGAGGCTGCGTGCGTTGTGGATGCAGCCAAAACTTTCTGATTGACATGTGCTATCCCGCTTTGCATTCTTCGGAGAGTCTTAGCGCGGCGTTTTTGAAACGGTCCAGAGCTCTGTTGATATTTGCTCCAAATTCAGCAAACCTGAGGCTTTGTGATTGGATGGGCTCCTGCCTTGAGGCGTTGGAGAGTGTTTCACTCGAAACCATAGAAGAAGGTATGTGGAAAAGCCGTGTAAGACACTTTCGCAGAGGAAGGGGAGCGCAAATCTGCAGCTGACCCCCTAGGTTGACTGTGCTGCCTACTTTTGTGAGCTCAGGCTTGCAAACTCTCAAGGTGTTACTTTCTATTGGAATTGACATTGAAGAATTTCTGCCGCAGATTCTTTGCCGCTTGGCTACCATTGCCATAGTTGCGAAGGAAGAATCTGTGCGAGGATGCCCTGGACCCTGCTCCGGGCAGCCGTAAGTTGGGCTCCGTTAGTTACATCTTAAACAAGCCATATACAACTCGTATTAATAGGAACAACCTTTGCTCGATTCGTGTGTGTCTTTGCAAATGTGTCCGTTTTGCAGAGTGCTCGCAGAATCAGTTGAGTCGGTTGCCCGTCAGCTGCTTCACTCGGCAGACAACGAGCTCCTCTCGAGTATTTGCACAAATGTTTCTTCGCACTTCCAAGAGAGGCGTTCCGATGAGCCATCTCTTGTCGATGCCATTACTAAATGGCTTTCATGGTTTTCGTCCCTTCTTCAAGAGGGACATGCTGAGGCGAAGGAAAAGCGGGCGAGCCCAATGGGCTGCAGAATCAAACTGTGATTTTTTCAAAATCGTGTGAGCTCCATGTTATTTGCTAGCTGGGCGAAAACGCTCGAATGCTGGACATTTTTAGTCCAAATTCGACTTGCTCCACCCGCTTGACGGCAAGTTCTTGCATACTCACTGAAAGCAGTCTGGATCAAATGCGTTCGATGGATGGCATATTGATAATATATCATGAGATCCTGTCGCTTCCTCGCAGTAATTCCTTCGCTTTCGACGATACCTGTATTGTATGCGATCGCGGTTGAGGGACGGTAGACCAGCCTCACCTGTTGGCAACAGTGAGTTCACTGTTGCCAACAGGTGAGGCGGGTCTGCTCAGCACTCTGAAGGAATTCCTCCGGAAGTGTCAGGAGGAATACCTTCAGAGTGCTGTGTAGGAAGAGTGTTGAGCTGTGGCAATTAGTGCTTCTGTCTCATACCTCCCGTTAACTTGAAGACAGAGTTGATGAAAGTCGCCAGGAGCATGCATGGTGGCAATCAGCAGCTAGAAGGGCTTGCGGAGATTTAGAGTTTGACGAGTCAACTTTTTTTTGGGCCAGTAAGAGTGGCGGCTACTAATGCGCATTAGATAGAAGCTTCAATAGTACTTTAAACAGGGAAAGTTTCCACACNCACACTACCAGTAGTCGCTAGAATGTAGTATGTGCTGTTGGTGTTTTGAGGCAAAAGTACCCTAAATGCTTGACTTCTACAAGGCATAGTGGCAACTCAAATAGACAATAGAAAAATGGTGGGGAACAATTAAAAAAAAATTGTTCATTTAGAGCGAGAACTCAAGGGGGTTTTTCCCTTAATTCCGAAACATCATCAACATGCGGTGGGTGACAAAGAATCCACCTAAAGATGCGTGATGAAGGACTTGTGATGGCTTTTCGCTACCGATGAGCATCTTACCAGCAATGTTGACGGAAGCCAGGAAGGTTCCAATAAGAGCCAGAAGGGTGAATCCAGATATCAATGCAGTGCCGTACTCTAAAAAAACATTTAGGAATAGCCAAATGAACCAAAAGCGGTCCTGACTCACCAAGCATGCAGCCAATGACGATAACTCCTGACAGCTGAAAAAAAGGAGATGAGTAGACAATGGTACAGCTGTTACGCAATAAATGCTTGACTTACGGCGTTTGTCACGGACATCAGTGGAGTGTGCAGGGCAGGAGTAACGGCCCAGACGCTGCAAAATGTCCCCGAATAAGCGCGGGTCAAAAGTGTCTGTGGACGACGATAACTTACCAGTAATAACCGACGATGAGAGACAAGGCAAGGAGAGTCAAGTGCTTGAGCTCCATGGGGTCGAGAACAATTCCAAGGAGCCCGACAACAGCGGCGGCAACAACTAGGCACATGGCAAAGAATGCATCTGAAGCTAGGGCTTGTGCAAAGGCACCTCCGGCCTTTCCAGGTGCGGGGGCGCTTGGTGCAGGTCCTGGCATGGGCACGCGCGGGGGCGTTCTTGAGACAGGGGTGGGTGGAGAGGGCTGCCACACGTTGCCTGAAAGAAGAAGTTGGTACGGAGGTCGATCTGATCAAAAGGGTTAATTGCTCACGGCCTTGATAGACAGCGACTAATCCTCTGATGACTTCGTCGTCCATGTTGACACGGAAGTTGCTGCCACCACCTAGATCTTCGAGGAGGTTGCAGATGTTCATGGAGAACAGCTCTGAAGCCTGGACGGGCCTGAAAACGCGTGATGATAAGCTTCATTGACTAGAAAGTTCTCAGGATAGATAAACTCACATGCGGGTTTCTATGCGTCTGCGTCCGATGACGGTGATGCCGTCGACAACGACCTGGCTATCCTTGGGGGAAACCTCAACATTTCCTCCCCAGCCGGAGCGTGTGTCGCCGAACTCAGTTGCAAGGTCAACAATTACAGAGCCAGGCTTCATTTGGCGCAACATGTCGCGCGAAATGAGCTTCGGAGAAGGCTTGCCGTGAATGGCAGCGGTACATATGACAACATCGCAGTGCTTGATTGTGTTTGCAATCAATTCGCGCTGGGCCCGCTGGTATGCATCACCCATTTCGCGAGCATAGCCTCCGAGAACTTCAGCTTCTTCTCCCTGCTTTAACCATAAGAGTCGGGTTGTTTTTTGGGTAGGGAAAAGTTAATTTACCATTCTCAAGCCAATGAATTTCCCGCCGCATGATTCAACCTCCTCGCGTGTTGCCGAGCGCACATCATGACCGAAAACTTGGGCACCCAATCCATGGGCAGTTGAAATAGCCTGCAGGCCAGCAACACCGGCACCGATGACGAAAACCTTAGCAGCCTCTACACGACCAGCAGCGCTGATGGACGCCTTGCTGAGCTTTGGCAGGGCGTTGAAAGCCTCAATGACTGCACGATAGCCCTGCAGGCCTTGCATTGCGGACCTGTACAAATACAATTAGCTACGTATCGGACAGCATGCGTGTGCGATAGTTTCTTACTTCACGTCTAGCTTTTGTGCTCTGGTGACACGTGGCACTTCGTCGACAGCCAGGGCTGTGACTCCTTGACGTGCAAGCATGTCCAATGCTTGAGTGTTGCTGAAGGGGTCAACGTTGCTGCATATTGTTTTGAGCTTGCTGACTGAATTTGACTACTTACACGCTGGGGAAGAGGTAACTGATCAGAACCTTGTCTCTTGGCATGCGAGAGACCATGTCGGGTGTTGGTGGTGACACACGGAGCAAAACTTCAGCTGCGCTGATGACTGCTTCGGCGCTGGGGACAATCTCGGCTCCAGCTCTTCTGTACTCTTCGTCGGTGAAGCCGGCATCCGCACCAGCACCAGATTCAACGACGACACGGAATGCCATCTTTCTGAGCTTGGGAACAAACTTCGGGGCAATGGGCACCATGACGGAACCGTTGGAGTCCTTGAGAACACCGACAGCCAGTCTAGGATAAGGCCATGAAGAGGGTTCAATGCGCTCTTCTCTCTCGAACTCAAGGAGTCCTGCTTCGAGATCATCGCGAGCAGCGGAGGCAGGCATCTGTTCAGCTTTCTGAAAAACACCAAATATGACTTGGTTAGGCTGGAAAGAAAGCGAAATCCACGTACCGCATTGACACGGGCGAACACAGCAGAGGTTGTGTTCTTTGCATTCCCGAAGAGCATGCGGGTGTTTTCCAAATGGAAAAGAGGGTTCTCAATGCTGGCATATCCAGCTGCCATGGAACGCTTCAGGACAAATACGCGTCTAGCTTTCCATGCCTCAATGACTGGCATTCCGGAGATCTTTGATCCTGGCTCAAGAGCAGCAGGGTTGACGGTATCGTTAGCTCCGACAACCAGGACAACGTCGTATGAGCTCATTTCAGGGTTGACTTCAGACATCTCCTTGACGATTTTGTATGGCACATCAGCCTCGGCAAGCAAGACATTCATGTGGCCTGAAAATGGCATTAGCGGAAGCCTTTAAAAACGCATGGTCTTAAACGCCCTACCTGGCATGCGACCGGCGACTGGGTGGATGCCGAAATCGACGTTAATGCCACAGTTCATCAGGTTCTATAATCGTTGACTGGTGAGTGCTGTTCATGCATAGTGACGAAAGTTGGCGCTTACCTTTGCAATGTCAGCGAGCTCGCTCTGGCACCTAGCAACGGCCATTCCGTATCCAGGCACGATCAGGACTTTGTGGGCAGCCAAAAGCTCATCAGCGACCTCATCAGCGTTGGTCTGTTGAACAGCACCCTGTGGGGCAGCTGCACCGACTCCCTCTGCCTCCTCAAAGCCACCGAGAACGACGTTCCAGAGACTCCGGTTCATGCCCTTGCACATGATGTAAGACAGGATGGCACCGGATGATGCGATGAGAGCACCAGCGATGATCAACAAGTTGTTGTCCAACATGAAACCACTGCGAAAACCGTCGAATTGGTCAGGAATAGAAAATGGATTTCAGATTTGCATACCTGGCAGCCAATGCCACTCCAGAGTACGAGTTCAACAAACTGATCACGACAGGCATGTCAGCTCCTCCGATGGCGGCGACTAGGTGGAAACCAAGCCACATGCTCAGACCAGCGTTGACATAGCTGAGGAAAGGAATGAAGAATCGTCTTGAGGGAATAAACAACTCGGGGCATCTTACAGGCAAAGCATGCGAGTGAAGTGGCCAGAGGAAACGCAGAAAAGAGCGCCAAGGACACCGATGGCAGCAACGGTGGCAGAGTTGAGTGCATGACGACCGGGGACTCTCAGGGAGCGGCTTTCCATCGATCCATGGAGCTTGGCGGCAGCGACAACTGATGAAAGAAACAATGCAACCCCTTTTATGCAAAAATAGCGCTCCGTATATCTCACCGGATCCTGTGAAGGTGATGGCAGCAACAAACACTCCGACGTAAACTTCCAAGAGGCGAAGGAGAGATGAGGCGCGCTCAACTCCGGCGGGCGAGTGGAAATTCGCAAATCCAACCTGATGCACAAATCATGAAGAGGATGATGGGGTCATATGATAGTTGGTAGCGCCTCACCATCACGGCGGCGAGACCGACGAAACTATGGAACAGAGCCACAAGTTGAGGCATATCTGTCATGTTCACGGACTGGGCGATGTATAAACCCAAGCCGACTGCAGGTACAGCCGTGCCGAAGAACAGCAAGTAGTGTTGACCGAATCCTGCCTCCGTGAAGGTGACAACTACGGCGGCAACCATGCCGACAAGACTGGAGGAGAGCGATTCACTCTTGGATGTTCGAATTGGACAGTTCAAAAATTCTCATACCCAAGGATGTTTCCGCGTTTGGCTGTCTGGGGAGTGCTCAGGCCTCTCAGACAAAGAATGAAGCAGACGGCAGAGAACAGGTAAACTGCTCCGAGGAGAGAGGGCATGTTGGAGAAGGCGAATTTCGAAATCGCGCCTCCTTCCGGGTTTTCCGGGCGAGCTCCATTGAAGCCTTCATCACCTTCACCAGGACTTCAGAAAGCATTGGAGACTTGTTAAGCAGACAGCATAAAGGTTGTTCGCTTACCGGTTCACGGGGAAAAATTCGCCCATGCGGACGAGATGACGTTGAATGGACCTCAAATTCGCAGCCGGAAAGTCAAACTCGGCGTTAGTTGTGGTGGTGGTCAAGAGAGCCACACCAAGGCATGTTGCCAGGAAAACAGTTAATCCGCTGGGGCGCCACATCTTCGCAAAAGAAATCAGGAAGTCTGTTGCAGTAGAAACAAAACCAGATTGCCCCTCAGGTGCCGCTGATTTCTTGCGGACCGATGCTGGTTGAGATTGTTTTGATTCCAAGAATGACGCTAGAGGATCGGAGTGATCAGCAAGAATTCTCAACTGTAGTGACACCCCAAGCACCTCTCGAACGAAACGGGGTCCCGTAAGGTTGTCCCGTCCGCATTCGCCGCTGCAGCATGCGACTTTTGTGTGAGAAATTTTAATTGATTCAGAGCTAATTGGAGAACTTTGAGCATGAGCAAGAGTCAAAGTTCCTCACTACAACCCGTCGAGTTCGCTATGGACCAGTGGTTCCCGAGCAAGTTGGCGCCTGGACGTCCAGAACTGGACATAGAAGAAAAGTTCTGCATTTAAAAAGATACTGCTCAGGGTTTCCCTTTGCAATGTATCGAATCATCTTCAAAAGAATATGAATCTGTCGACCCATGCGGGTTTTGCCCCACCGGAGATCCCATGTTGAACAGGCTCGACGACCACACTGCAGAGAAGCGCTTTGTCGGGTCTTCCAGAGGATACAAGTTAACTTCGGCGCGCTGTACTGGCATTTATTCTCACAAGTGATAGAAGGAGTGGTCTTTGGATTACAGTTACTGTTAGCTTTCTCCTCCACCAGAGTATCTGTCCCTCCACGGTATCTGAAGAGTCTGAAGTGGCAAATCGATCACCTGATCCGAAACAAACTTGAGTCAAAGTACCTTAAATATCCTTTTAGCAGCCACTATTCACCGAGATTTCCTCTTTTAACCTCCTCATTCTGCGGAGAAACTGCCAAAGCCCGCCCCACTTACGATAGTCGTCTGTTCCAGCCGCGCACACCTCCGTTTCACACCACAGATCTGCAGATTTTTCCACTTGACATCATCGGAATTTGCCAGGATACCTTTCACAGCATTGACTTCCTCGAGGATCGCACGTCTCAACCAAGTTGCACTGGTGCAAATTTCGCCGAGGGCCAGGTTAGCGCAGCCGGCTTGCCCTGGTAAACATTGTACACAGTAGACGGGGACTTTTGATGTGGCAACATAAAACCTTCAAGAAGTGTACTAAAGTAGAAAACAACTATTGACCAGCTTAGAAGACTTCAATTTGATATCCGAACGACAGACACCAACGGAACCAAAACTAGAGCTGCTTGATCTTGCCCTTACCTGGGTCGAACTCACATCAAGGCAACTCAGAATAGCAATAATTTTAGTTGAGAATAAATGCCCACTTTTTTTCAATGAAGTCGACTCCTGAAAAGTGCCAGTATGCATCAATGATTCCTTGACAGTTCGTTCTTTTCAAATAAGGTTCCAGCCTTTTGTGGCGTTACTGCTGTTTCCAGCATCTCTTACAGGCAGCAAAGCTGCTGGAAGAATCCAGAATAAAAACACTAAACAGCATGCTTTTGTGGACAGCAGCATATCCGTCGCTTGTTTTTCTCCAAGCTACAAAGCGATCGTTCAACGTAAGGGTCGAGCCTTTGCAAATGGTGATTGTGTGACACCGGCAGACGTCAAAATGAATCTATATATAAAGGAAGGGGCAATTTTGATTGGAGGAATTTTGGCAGAAGAACACTGCCAAAAGGCCTCCAATCAAATTTGCCCCTTCCTTTATACCCCTAATGGATGTATACTGGGCGACCTATTCTATGGCCGTTGCCTGTTTCTGGACATATTGCTGATTTTTGCTCAGCCGCAGTGCATTAGTATTTTAAAAAGCCACTTCTGCACAACAGTAACCAAATCACGAAGCGCAACAGAATTGGTTCATTTGTGCCCCGATATTACCCTTCAGAAGGAATAGTTTGTAGCACGTAGATATGACCCAATGGTTGTTGTGTCAGCGTTCAACATGAAATGACGTATTCCCACGGAATACGGAGGTNAATGCAACAATCTGTGGGGTCATTTGGAGTGCATCCTATCAGCATATCTAAAGAGATTTCAAAAACCAACTTGTTGGGTGCCCCATCGTGAAAGTTAGCTGTTGGCTAGCCATTAGCGGAATCTTGTGCCTATCACATGCACCATACTTCATGCAAGGTATTAACAGAATACACCTAAGGATTCTGGTGCACCAACGATGATTTCCTGATCTGTTTGGGATAGATAATACGAGGTTCTTATGTCCTCGGAGGAACATTGGTTAAAGGTGTGTAGACACATGCTAAATGTGCACAATGACGGCATCTGACAAGCCTTCTAAGCCTGTCAGATGCTGTGGTCTGGCCTTGCCGCTTCATGGGACAAAAGGTGCACTTCCGCGAAGCAAAGTACAGACATCAGATCAATCGAGCAAAACATCTGATTCAGGAAAGATTGCAACGTGATCTTCTCCCGGAGCACTGCACAAGGGAACAAAGGCGTGGAGGAAATGAGCTTGCAAGCATGTAGCGGTGGAGCAATCCCCACTGCACTGTCTCGTCTCTAAACACGTGCGAATTCAGGGGTGTTTCAGTCCCCAAATTCATGGAAGACAGTAGGCTGTATGCTACTGATTGTGCCTTCTGGCTGCTGCACAGTTGCGGCGACGACTTTGTAGAGCAGAGACGACTACCTCTGAGAATGAATTGGGCTCCTTTACGACGCAAATTCGTTCGCCTGTCGAGTGTTCCGAATGAATTATGCATGCATAGTGGGGCTTGTCCCAGTGTTACAATGAGGTGAAAGGGATTTGCCACGTATAAGTGCAAATCTGTAATTTTTCCACGCAGGCTTGCAGGTGCGTCTTTGGCCTTACTGAAGCAGTCGCCTATCTGTGGAGAAGCAAACGGTGATGTCCCATGTGTTCTGTTTGGGGTACCAAAGCAGCGCCCTCGAACCGCTTCGACCTTCAATATGCTGCAAAAGCAACAGTTCTAGACAGATTAACTGTATACATGCGCAACGAGTGAGGCCTCTAACTCCAACAACAAACGGGTGGAGGCTTTCCCTTATAACTGTAGTTGAAAGGAAAACAGCTCATCCACCCAATTTTTGTTTTCCAGGAACTGGGTCTTACAGAAAATCCTGTCACGGCAACATGCCTACAGAAATAACACATATAGGCCAGGTTTTCTTTTAAAGGGTGTTTCTAGCATTTGCTTGCGAAGCGCCACACTTTCTCCAGTGTTTGAGATGTGAACGTTCGGTAGGCACATTCACAAGCAATCGGCCCGACGAGGTTTCAGCCTCGTATTCTTGCTGTAGCAGCTCATCCTCTTCGTTTTCCAAGTGCTTTAAGTGCTTTACGAATACATATTCATTTCAAAGGTTTGAACAGCTTTTATTTTGGCGCATCTGGCAATCTAGATGTAACGAAGAACCATCATGCGAATTGGCAACAACTGATGTAAAGATCAGGTTCAGTTTGCCAACCTAAAGCAAACCAAAAGCTCGTAAGCACCAACACTATGGCTAAGGGCGGCATTACTGGGCCCTATTTTGGTAAGTTCAGTCATTCTGCGGCGTAAAGAAAGGCATCCTTCTGAATAACCGCGTGGAAACCCCACGGCGAATGCAACGGAAGGGGTGGAAGCCGAATTAAAACAATCTTCTCAAACATTTGACTAGTACACATCCAAATACCGCTGCATTTTGTGGCGTTAGTTTGGATGTTTTCCGTTGATTTCGAGCTCGAGTGTTGCGGTACAGCTAAGCTGAACGGGAGTTGAATCGGGCAGCATTGAACGATTGCGAACGTCGCGAAGTTGTAAGACGGCTGGCTGAGAAGCGAAAGCAGACGTGTTAATGATTAAAGATGCTACAAACAGAGCCGACTGCAAACTTGCAGAGCGCCCATTCCTGACCTGCGATCGTAAGGGTCGTGTGCGCCCAACACAAAAATGAGGGGCTACGGCGTTTACTATGGGCAGTAGACGATAATCCTGGACCCTTATGATTCTGATGAAGAAAACTTTCTAAACGTCTTTCCCTGTCCGTCGGTATAACGAAGACAGGAGAGCGACGACAAGATATGTAGTGTACAGGCATACAATGGAGCTCAAGCGGAACCCTCAGAGACCTAGTTAGCCGTTAAGAGAACGGCTACAATGCCTATCGAGAGAAGTTGTATTACTTTAGAAAGAAAGTTAAGATATCCAAGCCAAGAATGCTCAGTATTCACACCAGGTTGGGGCTTGCTGTGAGACTGATACTGCGGATGAGACTCTGACTCAAGACAGAGTCAGATGAAGATTTATCACTATGGAATTTCCTTTTTAAGATGATCGGACTCGAATATGTTTTAAGGGCAATTGCTTCAATATTTAGTCACAATAGTAGATATATGTTGCGTTTAGAGTATAGATGTAGAGTTTTGAAACCCAGTAGGGTTGACATCGGATACATATGTAGGAACAGCAGAGCCCGCTGTTCACTACAAGGAGAGCCGTGCCGCTGTTCATGAAACGTGTTGTTTGCGCAAACCGTCGACTCCGCATGAGATGCTTCTAATAGTGTTCCTTCTCTCTTCAAATGTTTCATGAAAATGATTACTTTTCTGCTCCTTTAACCAAATCTGCCTCTGAGCAACCCGCTGCCGTCGCTTCGTCTGTACCCGGTTTCACTCGCCCTGTCTTGGGCACGGGGTTGTTGGTTTGGGTCACGTTTGGCATCTGGGCCTCTCTTTAGCCCCATTTGCATCGTATGTGCAGCTCTTTAAAAAGGTGATGCGTTGGAACTTTTAAATTTGTGGACTTTTAAGAGGAAGACAGACTCGGGAATTCGTCTGTCTCGGGCAGCAAAAGCGACCGTTCGTCCCTGCGGCGTTGTGCCCAGGACTTGTTGAGGCTTCTACCGAGAGGGAGTCCTTCCTTCTTGGTGAATCGCTTCACTGATATCCGCACCACCTTCTGGCGGTAGTGCTTCCACACAGCGAGACGGGGTGCCCGCCGTGGTTAGCTGTTGAGATCTCCCTGTTGATCTCCGTTTTTCCCCAAGCCCATTTCATCTGGCAACTTTGTCTTTGACTTGAAGACCACCTCTTTAGTTACGCCGGAGTCCTACCTCCTCTGCACTCCCTGTCCATAAGCCCTGGGCGTAGACGCTCAACTCCTTCACAAGGATGACTCGCTCGCAGTTGTAGACGAGATGAACGGCCGCTGGGGGGCTGGCACTCCAGTTGCCACCCCAGTGCCGGCACCTCCTCTCCAGAGGCAACAGCTCTGCGACGAATCACGCGCAGCTGCTGCGTGGCTATGGGTTCAATCAGAGCTCGCTGGGGCCTTTGAGCGGTTTTCAAAGGATCTCCAGGCTATCCACGGTAGAGGCCTCAATGCGGCGGCAGCACTTGAAAAAGATGCTACATTTATTTCCGGCAATAAGGGGGCGGGCCGCGACCCTTCAGCAGCTGGAGGTGCGCGAGATGCACTGAACAGTTTGCTGCTGCTGTGCTCGGAGGCGGGAGCGGAGGCCGATCGCTTCTCTTCTGCTTTGAGATCCGGCGTTCTGAAGCCTTTAGAGGAGGCCCTGCAGCCATTAGCGCGCGCATGGGAAGCTTCGGGCGGTTCAAAGGCGGCCACTCACCTCCAGACGGAATTTGCAAACGCCGGCGAAGTGCAAAAAGCAGCGAGGAGGCTTCAACTTGCCGAAGAAGAACTGACAGTCAGCCAACAATACAGCACATATTATTATAATAGGGCGTTAGCTTGTATCAGCTAATACTGCAGCAGATCCTGTGCGCTCGTTCGTGCCAGCCAACAATGCAGGAGATATTGTTGCGTTGATACCCTCGTGTCAGCCAACGACGGATATTATTATACTCATACTTGTGTGCAGTGGCCGGCTCTGTGCTAATCTAGCAGCCCTTTGTGCCTGTAGACTGCCGCTCCTTCCCTTGTCTTTTGCTGCGCGCGACTCGGGCTGTTGCAAAGACTACATTTGTAGCTGGGGATGCTGTTTGGGCGGAGCACGAAGTTTGCATGCGAAAGTACAGGCTAAACCCCACAATACATATTTACAAACTTATTATTTTAAATACATTTTGGCCATACACAATGTCGATTGTTTTTTTGTCGTGTTTCTCTTGATGCACCTCAGAAGGCAGAGGCGAGCCTGCAAGAGCTTCGTTCACTGTTTGGCTCTGCTGTTAACTCCTCTCTGGAGCAAAAGGCAATTCAGCGGATCTCGCGCGCCTCCCGACTGAAGGTGGCCGCTCAAGAAGCCCTTCAGCAGGCCCTCTCAGCCGATGCATCGAAGCTGCAGCAAGATGCTTCCTCCTCCTCAGCCTCTCACCCTCTGTATGTAGAGCTGTTCACGACCAAACATTCTTCTCTTCCCTTCGCCGTCATTGGTGTTTGTTTTCTTGATGTTTGTTTGCGGGCCGCCGTGCCTTGATTAACTGTCTTGTCGTAGAGACGTTCACTCCTGTAGCTCCTTTCTCTGTTGCTGCTACTGCAGGGCTTCGGTGGAGCTGCGTGGCAGCGCGCGCCTGCTCAAGGCCGCAGACGGCAGCGCTTGGGCTGAGGCCGTTGGCGTGCGAGCAGAGGATCATCAACGCCGTATTTCTGCTGCTGTGTTGCACTCTATGAGGGCTGCAGGCAAAGTAAGGCGTCAACGATATGCACTGTCTTCTAGCTTTCACGCCCGTTCTCTCTAATAACTAACCCTCACTGGCCTCGCACTAGCCGGCGCTGTTTACTTACTGGCCTTTCCACACCATCCGTGCTTTCTCTGCCCTGCTGCTGCGATGCCTGAAAGTTGGGGTTTAGCCGTTGGGCGTTGGCTGTTCAGAAAGTCGCCGCATCTTTTTGTGTTAAGAGGAGGAAATAACGCAGACGGGAGTTTGTGTTGGTTTTTTTTGTGAACTGCAGGCAGCTCTAACGGCGCAGCAGAGGAGCACTGGCTTTGTGCTGCACTACGTGCGGGACCTGCAGCTATTTGCTGCAGCTGAGGTTGCAGCTGCGAGCGCCTCGGGCAGTCTCACCGCAGAGGCTGAGCAGGATGTGATAGCCGAGGGGGCTGCTGAGGAGTTAATGTCTCGGCTGTACAGACAGGTCAACGGAAACGCGGACAACGCCGAACAACGCACAAGTACGCGAATGCCAAGAGCAGCGCATGAGGGTGGTGCACTTGAGTCCTTAGTGTCTTGTGTCCAGCTGACACAAGAGCCCGTATGCATCCAGTAGAAAGGGAGAGAGGGAAGGGGGTTTCAGTTTGTTTTGTGGGGGGGAAAGGGTGTAGGGTGGGAGTGTGTTAGCAGCAGGTTTCAGTTTCTGTCTAAGTGTGATGCTTGGGCGTGCGATGCAGACGAGGCGACTCTGAGGAATTTGCTGCTGCATCAAGAGAAGCAGTTGCAAGAGGCCTTGGCGGAGCGTGACGAGCTGCGTCAGCAGACCGAACGGCAGCAGAAGGAAGTAGAAAACCAACAGAGGGAAATCGAGTCACTGAAGCAACAACTTAAAGGCGGAGCTCCGGCGGCCTTGATGTCACCGCGCAACCAAAGGCAGAAGGTGCGGAAGCAGGTGACAATACACCTGGGGGACTCTGACGACGAGAATACGTGGGTCCCCCCCTCTCAACAGAATCTGTACCAGGGGGGGGGCCGAGGGGAGCTGCAAGGGAGGGCTGACGGGGGCCTAAGGACCCCCGAGACGGCCATGCAGCTCTCCGCAATCAACGCAGGCAGCGCCGGGGGGCCCCGGTTGGGAGCCCCTGATGCCAGCCCTCCCTCTGCATCACATACAGGCAGCAAGCAGCCTATAGAAATGGTTTGGGTAGATGTACAGCTGCGGTACGAGGAGTTCTTGTTGTCGCTTCGTTCGCTTCCCCTTCTGAACAACATGTCCAGTAGAGCGAATGAACAGGACCTGCAACGCCCGCAGCAGAGGCCGCCTCAACAGGCCTCAAGCAACGGAGAGGCCTCTAAGTCTTCTCCGTCTTCTCGGCTTCCTCTGGGGTTGGCCCTCAGCAAGGAGGCGCGGCGAGACTGCATGCACTGGACAGACCCAACGTTTGCCTCCTCCGTCGCAGCAGCGGTGGAGGCAACAGCAGACGCCACTATGCCGCCCTTCCTCGTCCAGTGCTGCCGCCTTGCTGCAGCTGCTGCAGTTGCTGCTGCTCCCGTCAGCCCATCACAGCCAGGGCTGCGCTCCATCGGCGCCAGTCGCATGTCGGTGCAGCAGCTTCAAGGCCAAATCCTGTCGAGCAGGCGGCAGCAGCAGCAGCAGCAGGAGCAAACAGGTGGAGGTGCAGCATCTGGGCCCCTGGAGTGGAAGGAGTCCGACCTGCAGGTTCTGGCTTACGAGCTATTGCTGCTCGTAGCCTATCACTACTCGCAGTACTCAGCTGCTGCAGCGCTTCTAGCGGAAGAGGAGGAGAGGCTCGTCCCCTCGAACGCCGGCCAAGGCCCTTCTCCTGAGGAACAAACGCAAACCGCAGCAGCAGCATCGGCAGCTTCACGGGTCAGACGGCCCCGCAAGTCGCTGGCACGGGCCATGTCCATCAAACTAGGCGCAGCCATCTCCAGCGACCCGGAAGAGCACCAGCAGCAGCAACAGCAGCAGCAACATCAGCGGCAGCAGCAGCAGATGCTTGAGGGTTCTGCGGAGCCGAGTGCACTGCTGCACACAGCGTCGTTGCACGTCCCTGGCCAAGGCGGCACAGCGGCAGCAGGCCAGCCCCAGCCCGCTTCTCTTCAGCTGCGGCGGCCACGAAAGTCTTTGGCTCGGGCCATGTCTCTGAAGTTCGCCCCTCACCACAAAGACATTCCAGACCCCCTCCAACAGCAGCAGGAGCAACAGGAGCGGCAGGAGCAACAGGAACAGCAGGCAAGCGGTCCTGGTGGTGGCGTTCGCGTATCTGGTCGTGTGCGGGCTCGAGAAGATTTGCTTGGCGTCTGTCACCCTTTCTCTATGCCTCTTGAGGAGTGGCAGCAGCAGCTTGAAGAGCTGGGTCTGCCTCACCCTTCTATTTCTTCGCTTAATCTCTCGCTGCCGCGACAGCGTCTGCGTGCTACGGCTAACTGGCTGAGTCCGGCGCCGCTGCTGCAGCAATCGAACGAAGAAGTGCTGCTGCAGCTGCTGCAGCTGGCGCGGGTTTCCTTCGAGTTACCCAGCTCCAGCAGCAACAAGTTGCTGAGTCTGCTCGCCCCCGTGCCCGACAGCGGCTTGGGCCCTGCTTGCAGCTGCTGCCTCCACCCCTGCGACCTCCGCTACCGCGTCTTCCGTCTTATGGAGGCCTGGCGCACCGCCCAGAGCCCCCAGGCAACACCCGCCAGGGCGTTCCCTCGTAAACCGCAGCAGCAACAGCAACAACGGCAGCAGCATCGCGCCCGCTTCCTCCACGGTGCCGCTGCAGCAGCAATTGGCAAGCTTGACCCGTCCTACGGGGTGCGGGGGGCCCTGCGCAGACGCGCGGGAGACGCAGCTTCTGGTGCTGCTTCTCCAGCTGCTACCTCATCCTCCTTCCTGGCGGCAGCGGGAGAAAGGGGGGGAGGGACTGAGGGCAGGCGCAGCTCCTTCAGAGTAGCAAATGAACACCACCGCAACTCCACCCTCTCGGGGGGCCCCAACACCCAGCAGCGGCGGCAACTCGCAGGAGATCTGGGGCCCCCCGTCCTTCTGCAGCTACCTCAGACGAAACGGCGGTCTAAGCGGTCCTCGGTCTCAGCAGCAGCTGCAGCAGTAGCAGCAGCTGCTGCTGCAGCACAGTACCCAGATGCGGCAGGCGGGATAGACATGCAGGTTCAACAGGATCCAGTCTTCCGCTCCTTCGTAGACCGCCAGCTGCAGCTGCTGCATGCAGCCGCCCTGTCTCGCTGCGCCCGCCTCCTGAAGTTTTTGCTGCCCCAGGGAGCAGGAACTGCAGCAGCACCAACAGAAGGAGCAGCAGCAGAAGCAGCAACAGCAGCAGGAGAAGAAGCCAAGCGCTTCGCTGATCTTGCTGCTGAGAGACCTCCGTCGTCTTCCTCGTGGCGGCCCGTATCGCTGCAGCAGCTGTACGCTCGTGAGAAGAGCCGCAGCGATGAGGAGGCCCTTTTGTATTTCCTTAGGTCGCTGCTGCTGTGTCAGGGGGAGACGACTCCCACCCCACAAGTGTCTCCTCAAGCCCCCGCCTTCTTGCTATACTCGAAGGAGGAGACAGCAGCAGCGATTGCTGCAGCAGCGCAGTTGCAGTTGCTGCCTCTGCGTTTGCTTTGTTGCTTCTACCACATCTTCGCCTACATATTTGCATTGCAGCAGCTGCAGCGGCAGCAGCTGTGGGGCGACGCGGAGGCCTCTGTGAGGATCGAGGAGGTCTCTATACGCGTCACAGACAGCGCATGCGCTGCTGCAGGCACGGGGGAGACGGAGGCCCCTCTTACGTGGGAGGTCCGCACAGAGCAGCGAGAGAGGGGAGGCATGCAGCTGCTGCAGCTGCTGCAGCACAACATGTCGCAGGCAGCAGCTCTTGATTCTGCTCTCCGATGCACTCTTGCTGACAGAGGGAACAACAACCCCACCTTGCAGCAGCTCACCAAACCTCCTGCTGCTTCTCCCCCTCCCACCCAGACACTCTCCCTGACCCCACCTCAGCGCATGCGGCGACAGCAGAGTCTGAAGCCCCCACGCAGTCTCCTAGAACTCCCGGAAGTGCGCAGCGACTGCGGGGAAACAGCAGAAGAATCAGACGGTACGCACTCCTGCTGCTTCTGCTGCTGCTGCTGTTGCTGCTGCTGCAGAGTGGAGGCCCTGCGACTCCGCTTGAGCTGAAACAGCGGGAGTTCATTTATTTAGGTGTGTGAGGAGGGCGTGGTTTATATTTGCGTGGAGGGGTCGGCTGTGCTTGTCTGCTGCAGGCAGTCTTGTGTGGGGCTCGGACCTGGAAGGGATTAAAGGGACTGGGTACGGAGGGGGGGCCCCTCCCCATGGCCAGGGAGAAGGGGGCCCCCCTCACTTTACTCAGGCTGGGGGCGCCCTTCGGTCGGCCTTCCGTCGCCCCACACTGAAGGCGCTGAGGAGGCGGACACTGCGCACCATTGAGGCAGACTCTGCTGCTGCTCGTGCTGCTGCTGCTGCTGCTAGTTGCATGCTGGACGGGTCTGAGCAGCAGCAGCTCTTGTGCTTGCCTAGGGAGTTTCACTTGAGCGCCTACTGGTGCTTGGATATTCCTTTGCTGCTATCGCTGCTGCTGCTACTGGCTCGCTGCTGTGTTGACTCATCCGCTACCAACGGCCTGCAGCTCGGCGCCCCTTCGCTGGTGCAGGGGCTGCTGCTGGTCGCCCACGCCGCCCAAGTGGGAACCGATCCCACGTGCCCAGCACCAGAGGACAAAGCAAGCAGCAGCAGCAGCAGCACTGCTTCAGTGCTGCTGCAGGCATGCAGAGCCGGGAGCGGTTTCCCTGGTATTTCTCTCGACTCTGTTTCTCTTCTTGTTGCTGCGTGCGTTTGGGCCACCGGCGTTACGGCCTCCCCCAACCCACGCCAGCAACAGCAGCAGCAACAACAGCAGCAGCAACAGCAGCAGCTGACTCCTCGACCGTCGGGCGTGGGTGATATGACAGACTTGGGGCCCCAGACGGACGGGTCTGTTCAGTCTTCTGTCTCTGCGGCTGGCAACACACCCGCCTCCGTCCCTACAAGGCAGCAGCAGCAACAGCAGCAGCAACAGCAGCAGTTGATCCAGGAGCTTACAACCTCTGTTTGTGCTAGCATTGTCGAGCCCGCGCGTGTTGAGGTTGTCTCTTCTGCTTTGGAGTTGCTGCGGGACTTCAGCGGATTTCTGAAGCGGCCGTCAGCTCAGGGGGAAGAAGGAAATGCAGATAAGCTCGAGTGGGCCCTGGGCACCAACAAAAAGACAACAGTACAAGAGCGGCAAGGAGAGGCTGCTGCTGGTTCTGCTGCTGCTGCACCTCCTGCTGTTGCTGCTACTGCGCGTGCAGAGGGTTCGGGCCCTGCTGCTTCGGCGGGTGGGGTTGGTGTTGACCCGCTGTCTCCTCGACTCCCTCCTCGGGTGGCCCCAGCAGCTGCGGGCTTCGTTGGGGTTTTGCTGGCTAAGCAGGAGGCAGCAGGCGAAGGAGTAAATGCAGCTGCAAAGGAGGGTATGAAGACAGGCAGCGGGTTGGAGCTGCTGGAGTTGCTGCCGCGCGTGCGGGGGGAACGGCTGTTGCTGCGGCTCCGTGGGTCGCTGCAGCAGCAGCTGCAGCAGCAAGAGGAGCAGCAGGAACAGCAAGGTGGAGGAGAGGGAGGTTGGAAGGCCGAGACAAGGCCCACCTTCTCCAGCGTGTTGATGAAAAGGGAGTGGATGGGGGCGGACTGGTGGGTCAGTCAATGCGAAGGAGACGGAGACAGGAGACAGAGAGGTAGGAGACAAACAAAGGAGACAAACAAAGACAGACAAACACATAATATAGACAGACAGACAAACAGATAGACAGACAAATAGACATACTGAGACATATACAGACACACNCACATAATATAGACAGACAGACAAACAGATAGACAGACAAATAGACATACTGAGACATATACAGACACACAGAGAGGTAGATATAGAAGTAGATAGACAGACAGACAGATGAAGACAGACAGGCAGATAGGTACGCAGACACACACAGACAGACAGTAGCGCTATGCCTCCTAATGCAAGCCAAAGCTCCTCCGGCTGCCATCTGTTCACCTCCGCAGCATCGAAACCATCGGGCAGATTAAAAGCTCCTCAA